GAGTTCAGCCACATGATGGGATCTTGCATGAGTATCATCGACCAGCTAAGAGGGAGCACGAACACACCTCTTATGAGCCTGCTGCTGCATGGTGAGCGTGGTTGCGGCAAAACCGCTCTCTCTGCTCACCTAGCACAGAAATCAGACTACCCCTTCGTGCGCCGCATAACCAGCGAAAACTTCGTAGGTTATTCCGAGCAAGCAAAGATCTCAGCCATTGCCAAAGTCTTTGAAGATGCCTACAAGAGCGATTTGTCTTGCATAGTCCTGGACGACATCGAGCGTTTGATCGATTACGTCCGCATCGGACCAAGGTTCTCAACACCAGTCATGCAGGCTCTGTTTGCTTTGCTTAAAAAACCGCCACCAAAGGAGAATTCTAGGCTGCTCGTCTTGGGGACGACAGCAGATGCACATTTCTTGGAGGAAGCTGAGCTGTTCCAGGCATTCAACGTGGCTTTGCAGATCCCAGTCCTATCGCAGCCGCTTCATTACAAGACGGTGCTGGAGGCCCTTCCGGGCTTTACGGCACCGTCGATTCAAGAAATTTGTGCCGGCATTGCTGGCAAGAGTATTGGCATCAAGACGCTGATACTCGTGGCAGAGATGGCAGTCCAGAGGGAGAACCCTGTGCAGATGGCAGTTTTCCTCGAATGCTTGAAGCAGTGCGGCATAGCAACATAGCTGCTTGGTGCGCGGCTGGTAGTTTCCGCAGCTTGTTTTCGACTGTGCACAGTACAGACGGCAAGAGGTGCGAATGAAGGCCAAACGATCGGTGGTGCCGGCACCGGCTTTGGAGAGTTCTGGTTTTCAAGTCTTGCGTTGCATACGAGACCGCTGCGTGGTAAGGGTTCAAGTCATGTCATGTGTTTTGAAATACAAGTACCAGGTCATGCAGCGGTTTCTTTGGAATGTAAACTGATGCAACGGTAGGACCAAGCATAAGACGCAGCAAAGAAGCTTGACTGCATGGACGCACTGCTGACCATGAGCTACAGCGGTTGGGAGGTGCGTTTCTGCTGTGACTCTGATGTGTACGAGTCTACATGCCGCCGATGTCCCGTAGAGGAGCATGAGCAGAAGCCCCGGCGCAGTTCGAGGAGGGCCTGTTTTTGCCAGTTTTAGCCGCAACAAAACTGCGCTCACATGCCATGGCAAGGGCCGGAGCCGTTGCAGGACCCGGTCTTGGCCTCGGCCTTTGGGGCCGGGGGGGAGCGAGTGAGCTTTGATCGTGTTGTGCGAAAACGCCTCGGGCACTCCTTAAGGGATTGGCTGAAAAACGGGGCGTGGGGCGATGTTGCTGCGCTATTGCAGGGCGGGAGGTGGTTGGCGTTTATGTTGAAATGCCAAAACTAGGGCTGGTAACCCTGCAAAAGTGGGTGGGAATTCAAGGACAGTCGGAAGTCGCATGCTGGTGACAGTAGAAACTATACCGCAAGGATTGGGGTATGTGGTCAGCAAAGCTGGCGATGTCAAAGCCGTCTTCGCATGTTGTGCTCTGGCGATTCGGGAAGCAGACAAGTTCCAGGATCCCCGAGCAGGCGCGTTGACAGAGCTGGGTGGCATTCTGCCATGGTCTAAGCTCCACTTGGACGCGCTGCCCCTGCTGCCCCTGCCGCTGCAGTCTTTCCGAGGTCCCAAGTCGAGCAGGAACTGCTTCTCAGTCGCAACGTGAGCCGATCAAAATCAGACTGTAGCCTGAGTTCCAGGTCTGCCGACTTGGATGGAGGCTTGGGGGCTTGGAAACTCTTCGTACAGATCATGCGGTATGAGTCGCCAAGAAGGTGATAGGCTCGGCTTGCTTGCGAGGCTCAGCGGCGTCTGATTTGCAACAGTGCCCCGCGCTTTTTTCGGCGGCGGTCCAGCACTGTGATGCTCGCTACGGCCGTGAGTCTGGTGCTAAGGCCGTGAGGTGGTTCGACGTCAGGCCAGGCTGCTTCGTACAAGCGTTGACGCCAAGTTCTTCAGCCAGGTGCGACTGGAGGAGTTACGCCGCGTGCTGGATACAGCGCAGCTCCCAGGTAAGAAGCGCTTTCAGGAGCTGTCGAAATCTTTGCCTTAGGTCCGCCGGACAGGTGAGATAGAGCCGATCCGTTCGGCAGTTCATCTTCCTCAGGTATCCAACATGTGGGGCTCCGGTGAAACAGTAGTGCCAACTCGGCTGCCCTTGGGCAGGACGCGGAATGCAAGGAGCTGAGGGAGGAGCTTGCGGCTTTGGTGCCGGCAAAGATGTCTGCCGAGCGCGAGGCTGCGGAGATCAAGGCCTTGCAGCTTAAAGCGTTCAAGCTTGTTCCTCGCTTAGGGCCTGCCGAATCTTCGATCCTCGCGACCCTTGCTTGCAGGTCGCTTGGAAAAGCGATCGCATCCGAATTCACCAGCTCCAACAGGAGAGTACGCATGGCACGTTTTGACCCGTGCTGGGGAAGCCGGGAGGCCTTTGAGGGGTGCAGGCTCTGCACAGAGACTGAGCTGAAGGACTTCTGGGGTATGTGGATGGAACTCGCCAGTCCAGAGGCTTGTCTATGCCCTGATCAGGGAATTGTTGAACGGACAGCCAATGGCTGCGGCCACGGAAACTCAAAAGAAGGAAGCTTAAGACTCCCTAGACCGTCTCCTGCGGTGGAGACGTGGCATCATGGAACAAAGCGATCGCCAACATGCCACCTGGGCACGTAGATCCCTTGCAGTTCCTAGCGGGCAGCGACATGCAAATTCTGAGTTTCCACGATTGCATATAGAGTAGATGCAAGCACACTCCAGATCTCTGCACATGCGGGCAGAACCCGATGCGGCAGTTCAAGGGCAGTACCTTTGCGGCCTGCAGCGTGAGTTGTGCAGAAAGAAGGTATTTCTCTGAAACACAGGAGTTGCAGATGCAGGCAGCGGCCGTTTCCGAAGCGGCGTGGATCTCAAGAGCCGTGCGAATTCCTTCTTGTAGAAGCTGTCGGAGATTTGAAATCCTGTGGCTCGTGACCCCGAGGCTTCCTCAGCTTCCGCAAAGCCTCCAGGCCGACGCGATGACGTGTTCTCCAACTGGTGATCATGCATGTGTGGGCCATCGAGGGGTCCAACAATCGCCGCTGGCAGACATCCAACTTAGAGTTCGGAGCACAGGCCTGCATGGTGCTTCATATGTGCCACGGTTCAGAAAGATGCGCCAAGGTCTGGCAGACTCGATGTGCCAGTCAGGACCTGGAGCTTTTGTGCCTTGTTGCAAGCCCTAAACCCTCGCAAACATTTGGTCCCGAAGGAGGAAGATCTTCAGCAGTGTCGATCAAGGTGCACATTGGTTGATGCTGGGGGGTTGCAACGAAACGTAAAGAAAAAACGCCCGCGCGCGCAGCCCCAAGCCTGCATCATCCCCTGTCTATGTTTGGTGCGCGCTTTAGATGAACGAACCGCAGCTTCGGGGGCCTCGAGGGCGGTGGTTTCCAGTCTTTTTCAGATCTTTCGTGAGCTGACTCTGCCTCCGGGGTTGGCTGGAACTTGGGTCGAGACAGTTGGCTCGAGGACTTCCACCTGCTTTCCCATCTTCTTGGAATCTGTGTCGGGTTGCGCTAGGGCCTCTGCTCGACTTCGTGCTGTTGCTTTGGCTGGGGCTTCTCAGGAGCTGGGGCCGGATCAGCAGGCCCATCACACGCCTTTACAGGATTCTTGAATGCGGAGGGGGAGGAGCGCTCCTTCGTTAAAGCTTGGGGGGGGCGGGGGGTGGACAAGCCGGGCAAGGTCTGAGACCTTTTCGTATCTTCCATTCGGGCTTGTTGCAGTTTGATGGTTGGAGGCGCCTGCGTCAGATCGTTACTTGCAGTGGAATTTGCATGGGATCCATGTGCATGATTGCCTCTGCACTTCGTCTCATATTCCTTTTGCAGGTGTAGCGAATGGGAAGAAGCGTCAAGCGCTGCTCTCGGCACGGACCTTGGATGTTCCAGCAATGACCACCCACCGTCATCGCTCACGGAAGAAGGACGTTGCACCCACTTCGAGGCGTACGCCATGGAGACAGCCAAGGTGCCAAGATTCGCTCTAAACAACTAGCCGTAGCCACATCTGCGCGCGTTTCGGACAATTTCGGTCAGCCAATTTGGAGATTTTTCACTGACCCGGTATGCCAGACCTATCACACGCCTAGCTCGCAAGAGGGACCCTGCTTGGCCGTTTCGCAATTTTGCCCATGTTTCGGCCGCAAGAGTGCGAGCAGGAGCATGGAAAGGCTGCATGTGCGGAGACGAAAGAAGAACCAGACATTGCGATTGGTGTTAGATTTCCGTCCAGGCAGAAGCGCAGCTCAGCCTTCAGACGCAGATTCTGACAGAAAGATGCATCGAGCTGCAAGCGAAGATGGACCGGTCGAAGGTAACCCAGTACGACTTATTTGGGCAGCTGGAGCAGCTCCGTATTCAGAATCTGGAACAGCACCAGCGCCTGGAGGCTACACTCGCCAAGAGCGAGCAGCTCCAGCAAGAGAACAGGACGCCCTGTGAGCCCCGAACGTCAAAGTAACTACATGATGCTCGCTTGGAACTTGCTTGGAAGCGTATCTGCTGTGCTGTACAGGAACCTGGAAGCCAGCAGTGCGGAAATAGAGCTTCAACTCGCCGAGTGCATGCTCTGCAAGCCGTCGACGCTAGCTTCAACTTACGAGAGCTGTCAGTATTCGCTGGGTGTACGCACGTGGTCACGTAGTCCCATCAGCCGAGCATACAGCCGCAGAAGTCCATGTCTTGGCAGGTGCGAGCCGCGCGCAGAGCGCGATCGCGTCGATCTCCACAGCTTGGAGCGGCGCTACGCAGTGTCGGAGGCGGCCAGAGATGGCTGTGCCCGACGTCTGAAGCTTCTCGAAACGCAGCAGGAAAAGCTTCAGCACGACTTGCCCCTTCGACTTCGAAGCAAATGTTAGGTTTTGGGTCACTGCTATAGTTCGCTAAGCTCACCAAAAGGCTTTTCGAGTTCGCTGCCAGGCAAGTGGCCCTAACCTCGAAGCAGGAACTTGCCGAAAAGCACAACTGCCTGCGGCTGGAGTGTGGGAACTTCGAGTCGCAGCTACGACTGGCAGAGCAGGATGCTTCTTCCAGTGCTAAGCATCGAGACGAGCTTGCCCAGGAGCATTGCCAACACGCAAAACGGGCATCCGAGCTGTTGGAAAAGAGCCAGCAACAAGAGCGTGCTGCGGAAGAGTTCCAGCGAAGATTCGAGGAAATGGAGATTGCACTGGAGGCAGCCATATTGGCCAAGGAACGTATGGAAGCGCGAGCGGTGGCAGCAGAAGGCGACATGAAGGCTGGGCAGGTGTGGGTAGCGGGCAACTGTTTCTTTACTAGGGAGAAGTGTGTGTGGGGGTCCTTTGTTCGGCTTAAAGCGGTCAGCAGGCGGTGCACATGTTAGATGCCACAGTCGGCGTGGTCCGCCGGGGATGGGTGCCGAAATCCAGACTAGTGTGCACTGACGCGCTGCTGTTTCTTTCGGCCGTTTGCCGTGCATTTTGGCATGCGACGAACGTTTCCAAGACCTGACCCGCCCCACCAGACCAGATGACGCCCGCCCATAGTTCCGGGATTTTAAACTCCAGCCACGCGTAAGGCGAATTTTCGACCCAAGGGGTCCTGGACAGATTGTTGGGTGTTCTTCATTGTCTTGGGGTCTACGTGCTTGGGCCTGCTTCTTGGTTTTTTGCATGAGATTGAGACTGCTGGCTCCAAAGGGTTCCGGCAAGTGGCCCTAACCTCGAAGCAG